CAAGTCAGTCTCCCCAGCTTCTGACCTCACCCCACAGGAATGTCTCCCCTCCCATCCCATCTCCTAGGGGATATTATCTAGAGAGAAAATAAGTAGGTGAAAAGTCAAGCCTCGTCTCCTCCTTTTTATGGCAGCATCAGAATGCTGACACCAGGGGGAGTTGGCAATAGAGGAAGCCAGCCTAGCTGTAGAATTTTTTTCATTGGAAACCAGGAACCCTCTCCTCTGCTTGACAAATAACAAAGCCATCTAACTAAAGAAGTAGAAGAATTAAAACAAAGAATAGCTGAGCATCTAGAACAGGACAAAAACAAAAGAATAAGGTTGCCTGCACTTAAACTTGTTCCAAAGAAACAGCTAGCACAAGCATTAAAAGACAGAATGGGACAACTCATCATGGCCAACTCGCCACAGCCCACTTGCCATGGCCAACTTGCCACAGGACAATTCTCTGTGGCCAACTCACCATGGGACAACTTGTTGCAGGTCAATTCAATGAATACAAAAGTTAAATTAATTTCAACGGAACCATAGCCAGTAATAATAAAACCAAAGGAAGTCAATCCAGAAATACAAGAATTAGATTAATTTTGACGAAAACATGATCACCAATAATAAAAGTAACTAAATGAAATGATTAATACAGCATTGAATTATCCTGTGGTGAGTTCTACGCGGTAAGGTGTCCTGTGGCCATAGTGAGTTGTCCGTGACAAATTGTCTAGACCAGGGGTGTCAAACTTGATTTCATTGAGGGCCGCATCAGGGTTTTGTTTGACCTTGGGGTGCCAGGGTGGGTGTGGCCAGCTCAACGTCACTCATGTCAGGGACATCTGTGCTGATCCAAGCACTCTGCCAGCAAAAACGGAGCTCGGAAGGGCTGCCCACAGAGGCACCGCTGGCTGGTCCTTTCCTGTTTTCAGGGCAGCCCCATAGCCAGATCCTGCACCTGGGCCTTGAGTTTGACACTCCTGGTCTAGAACCCTAAAAGATGCCAATATTGAACTAGCTCACTACAAGAAACAAACCAACTAATGTACAGTATAGCTGCAATTATAAGTGAATACCTGGTATGCAAAATTGGCAAAGAAGAAAAAAAGCCAAAGTCATCAAAATGGAAGACCAGGCTGGAAAATAAGATTAGCAAGATGAGATCAGATGTCAGTAAGCTAGAACAAATGAAACAAAAGAAGCTGAAGAGCAAGACTAAAGAATACCTAATAAGTAAGTACCACTTAAAAACATGGAAGATCAAGGAAGCCCTGGAAATAATAAAGCAGCAAATAACAGTTATAGCCAAGAAGATCAGCAGAAACAAAGCTTAAATTGCAAATTATAGGCAGAACCTCCAATTTCAATCCTATCAGAAACCAATCCTCAGAGCAACATTTTCCCAATTGAAACTATAGTTAAATCTGTCTATATATTGTGAGATTAAAGTATTTTCGTCATGCCTTCTGACTGCCGGTTGGTGTTCATGGATACGTTCTGCCAGTCTTCTGCCTGTTTGTCCTACATAGTGGTTGTTGCAGTTCTTACATTGTATATTGTAGATGACTCCTGTTTCGTCTTCTGGGGTTGCTGGGTCTTTTGGTTTGCTTAGGATGTTTTGAAGGGCTTTAGTTGGCTTGTGCGCTATGCTGATTCCATGTGGTTGTAGTTTCTGTAGAATCTCATACCATTCAGGTTCACTGAATAATCCAAGGATATTATGTTATCCTGAGAGAAATGGAGAAAAACATCTTTTTAATCAATGTCTACTGTATATACAATGTCTACTGTATATACAGTCATGATTTGATATATCCCTATCATGAATCTTTTATTTGCCTATTTTTCAGCAATTTCCTCTGCTTTATACACCAAAGATTTGTTTCAGATCCAGTCTTGGTATTGTTTGGTTGCTTAATTCTTCTTCCTAACATATTCCCGCAAGTGCAGGATCTGCTTAATTTACCATCCATAACAGCATTAAAATATTCTCTTGCAACTGTAGTGATTAGAATTTTACAAAAGACTGTCCTTTATTTCACAAAGCTAACCTTTACATTTATTTAGTTTATTTATGTTCTTCAAACATTAAATTGAAAATGAATACAGCAATAGAGAAAGATGAAGTAATTGGAAGGCAGGAGGAAGGAGAGAGAGGGATGGAAGAGTAGGGAGGAAGGAAGGGAAGGGAAAGTAGAGTAGGAGAGAAAGCAAGACAGGGAGGAAGAGAGGAGGAGAAGGAGAAGGGAAGGGGAAGTAGAAAAGAGAAGAAGGTGGGGAAAGAAAGTTGGAAGGAGAAGAGGGAGAGGCTAGGTTTGAGGAGAAAGATTGCTGTAAAAATAAAAAAAAGATGAAGTGGAAGAAAGGCAGCTCTGAACAAACAAATATAAATATATTAAGAAAAAGAATGAATTGTTTAAGAATAAAAGAGGATAAATGTGTATAAATAGTAAAGTTAGAATTTAGGGATAAATGAAGGATATGTTTACGTATGCAAGTATAGAAATACTAAGGTATATTCAAAAAAAGGAAAGGGGGGAAGACGATATTGACAAAAATTGTAATTGAGTAAAATGTATTTGAATTTGACTAATTAAGAAACTAATTAATTTCTAAATAAGAAACTACCAACACTCTGTTCAAAAAAAAAGAAAGATGTGGATGAAGGTGGGAGAGGAGAAAAGAAAAAAACCAATAAAACTTGTTTTAAAAAAAGGATAGGATAGGATAGGATTCTTTATTGGCCAAATGTGATTGGACATATAAGGAATTTGTCTTTGGTGCATATGCTCATAGTGTACATAAAAAGAAAAGATACATTCATCAAGAATCATAAGGTACAATGCTAGTCATAGGGTACAAATAAGCAATAAAATCATACTAGGAAACAATATAAATTGTAAGGATACAAGCAACAAGTTACAGACATACAGTCATAAGTGGGAGGAGATGGGTGATAGGAATGATGAGAAGATTAATAGTAATAGTAATGCAGACTTAGTGAATAGTTTGACAGTGTTGAGGGAATTATTTGTTCAGCAGAGTGATGGCATTCAGGAAAAAACTGTTCTTGTGTCTAGTTGTTCTGGCGTCGTTTGAGGGTAGGAGTTGAAACAATTTGTGTCCAGGATGCAAGGGATCTGTAAATATTTTCACAGCCCTCTTTTTGACTTGTGCAGTATACATGTCCTCAATGGAAGGCAGGTTGGTAGCAATTGTTTTTTCTGCAGTTCTAATTATCCTCTGAAGCCTGCGTCTGTCTTGTTGGATTGCAGAACCGAACCAGATAGTTATAGAGGTGCAGATGACAGACTCAATAATTCCTTTGTAGAACTGTATCAGCAGCTCCTTGGGCAGTTTGAGCTTCCTGAGTTGGCTCAGAAAGAACATTCTTTATTGTGCTTTTTTGATGACTTTTTGATGTTAGGTGTCCATTTTAAGTCTTGAGATATGATAGAACCTAGAAACTTGAAGAACTCTACTGTTGATATTGTGCTGTCTAGTATTGTAATAGGTGGTAGTATAGAAGGTTTTCTTCTAAAATCCACCACCATTTCTACAGTTTTGAGTGTGTTCAGTTCCAGATTGTTCCGGTCGCACCACAAGGCTAGTTGTTCAACCTCCTGTCTGTATGTGGATTCATTGTTGTCTCGAATGAGACCAATCACTGTTGTATCATCTGCAAACTTCAGTAGTTTAACAGATGGATCATTTGAGATGCAGTCATTGGTATACAGAGAGAAGAGAAGTGGAGAGATTACACATCCTTGGGGGGGGGGGTTAATTGTACAGGTATCTGATGTGATTCTGCTTAGCTTAACCTGCTGCTTCCTGTCTGTTAGGAAGCTTATGATCCACTAAGAAGTGTGTTCAGGTACCGCTAGCTGGTTTAGTTAGAAGAAACTACCAAAAGATTTGACAATATAAGATCTTATTCCATTTGTAGCAAAACCAAAGACAAATTCAAATTTACCAATTGAGAAAGCATTCTAGCAATTGTTACACCAAGACAAAGAATCAGAGCAGAGACTAAAGACAAGGCCATAAACAAAACATAACAGAATTATTACTAAGGGCCAATGTTATTAAATTCTTTACTTAATAGCAGAGAATGATATTAAAATACTGTATGCTGCTGAAGTTAGATATAGAAGTTTCCAGACTGTCAATGAAACATAAACTGTCATCTACCTGTCTTACATGTTTGTCTCACAGTGTAAAATACCTTTAATATATTTAGAATAGAACAGAATCAGAATAGACAGAATAAAAAGAAAGGAATCTATTTTTGACTTGTACAGCACCATACATTTTAAAAAGGAAAAGCACACTACTGGTCACCACAAATATCTGGAGCCATATAAATCACATCTATCCAAATCTATTACAAATAAAAATGTTTCAGAAACTGAAAAATAATTTGTTTTTTTACTGATTATTTCCAACATGGAACTTTTTCTTTTTGCAGCAGGCTTATACTTCAAGCTCTTTATTACCCTAATCAGATGACCCCAACAAACCTTAACTTAATCACTTCTGATTACTAATGGGAACCATGTGTGTTGAGGAACTATACAGTAGGTTGTGATCTGAGTAACCCTTGGAGTAGTGATAATTAATAGAGGAGAAGCTATTAAATCAGTTTGGAAAGTCAGAACAGGTACAGCAGATCCATATGCTCAGTTCAGGATGCCATGGCAGTAATCTGAAAAATAGGAGATAAGTATCTGATTTTTAAGAACAAATGAAGCACAATCATGCAAGGAACATGTAGATTTGTCTGATTTTTGATTGCTTACTTTCATAAAATATGTATAAATCTGCAATGGAGTCTCCTTTTATGAATAGCACCAATTCTTCTAGACTAGGCCAAAGAATGTTCTTTTTAGGCAAAATATCTATTTATCTTGACATCTGCTTTGTTCTTTGCATCTAAGGCCAGAAATATGTAAAGCGACCATGTTGCCCTGTATAACATTATAACAAGAACTATATCTCTTTTTTTACAGGTATGGTTTAAAAACCGCAGAGCCAAATGGAGGAAGCGGGAAAGAAATCAACAGGCAGAACTTTGTAAGAATAGTTTTGGAGCTCAGTTCAATGGACTGATGCAACCTTATGATGAGATGTATACTAGTTATTCCTATAATAACTGGGCTACCAAAGGACTTACTGCCAGCACTCTATCAACAAAGAGCTTCCCATTCTTCAACTCCATGTCTGTCAATGCCCTTTCTTCCCAGCCCATGTTTTCAACATCCAGTACTATAGGATCTATGTCTGTACCCTCCTCAATGGTTCCTTCAACAGTGACTGGTGTGCCAGGCCCAAGCCTTAACAATCTTAACAGCCCTGGTCTTAACTCTGCAGTTCCTTCCAGTACCTGTCCCTATGCATCCACAGCCAATCCTTACATGTATAGGGATACTTGTAACTCAAGCCTGGCTAGCTTGCGTTTGAAGGCAAAACAGCACGCCAACTTCACCTATCCAGGAGTGCAGACGGCACCCTCCAGCCTGAGCCCATGTCAGTATGCTGTGGAAAGATCAGTATGAGAACCTCCACTGCTAATTATGAACTATTAACAGAACAGTTTCCCCTGCAGATGAATTCCAGAAAAGATCTATTTATAATATCGTTACAAATGTTTTACTATCATTTTTGTAAAGTATATATTTTTACTCACTGAACATTCATTTCAGACAGAGGAATTTTTTGCCAAGATTTGAATTCTCATCCGGTGATAACAACATACCCAGGGAAATGGTTGACACTGCTTATAATTTATGACTGCAATTTGTGCTTTATACATCTGACTCCTGCTTATATAAGGAAGTCTAGATTCTGTACTTGAAGTACCAGGTTTGGATTTACTGTATGTATATTTCATAAAAGCTTGTCATGAAATGCCCTGGGTAAAACTCTGGTTTCCTTTTTAAAAAAATAGCATATCATAACAAAAGATTGCCAAAAGTAATTTGATAGCATGGGAAGGAAATTTATGCGCAGACATGCCATGAATTATGTGGAAGATCTAGGACAAAGAAACATATAGATGTGCTCCAGGGGTGGGTTCTACTTACCTTTACTACTGGTTTGCAATAGGGCTGCGTGCGAGCGCGAGCGAATGCATGTGCAGAAGCGTTTTGATGATGTCAGGGTCAGTGGGCGGAGTCTCCCACCGGTTTTACTATCGGTTCTATAGAACCGGTGCTAACCAGGGACAACCCACCACTGATGTGCTCCTAGGTATCCCTGGCTACCATGACTGAAATAGTAGCTGTCAATTTGTTTTCAAAAGAGCACTGATATTTGGAGAAAATAGACAAGTCATCAAACTTGGAACAAAACCATTTGGTGATATAATAGTTCTACAGGATACTTATTTAAATGTATAAAACCAATAGGTATGTGGACTATATTTTATTTCCCTGGGCAAATTTCATTTTCTACCAAAGGAAATATTATTTAGGAGCCATGGTGATGCAGTGGTTAGAATGCAGTATTGCAAGTTGACTCTGCCCATTGCCAGGAGTTCGATTTTGAATGGCTCAAGGTTGATTCAGCCTTCCATCCTTCCAAGGTCAGTAAAATGAGGACCCAGATTATTGGGGGCAATATACTGACTCTGCTTAGAGAATGCTGTAAAGCACTATGAAGTGGTACATAAGACAAACTACTATTGCTATTATAAACAAACACATTTTGCAATGACTTAAGTTCCCAAAGACAAACAAAAAAAATGCCCCAAGCATCTCATGCACATGTGATTATTGCATAAGCAACAAGCACTATTTGTATGCAACAATTTATAACCTAGAAAAATTAGGTCTGCAACTGAATAGAAGTAATCTATTGAATTAGACAAATGAATTATCTTATCCTTGACCACATTCAGGCAACAACTCCCAATTATTAGTTTCCAGGATGATCCAAACAACAATTTTTTCACTGTTTTTAATTTCATTGAGTTTACAAAAGTAGTACATGTGCCTCTGAATCATACTAATGTTTCTGCAATAATCTGTCACAAGCCAACAAGTATAGAAGGAGCTTTAAGAACGTCACATTATCTCATCCTCAAATTTGTCCACTAGAATTCCTGAACTTTTCAGAGCTCAGAAATGTACAAATCAAAATCCATAGATGCTAACCATGACCAACAAAACTGCAGCCTACTGTAGTAAGAATGTATTGTGGGAAGAGGTGAAGGAAGTCATGCTCATCTACTGTAACTTCCTTTTACTTGACCTTATTGTAACTTATTGTAATCTCGAGTGGCAAACTGAGAAGTGGGTGGGTACCATTGAAGTAATTTTTCATGTTTGGGTTGCTGTTTTTTTGCTACTCCAACAACCCATTAAACTACTCAAGATGGATGATCCTAAAAAACTGTTAATTTATACTCATAAATTATAATTTTTCTTTAAAAGTTATGTTTGATGCTAATAAATTTGAGTGCTAGTAGCAGGGCAGACTACATTTTTAAATTTGCCTCAATAGTTTTCTTGAAAAAGTATACATGCTTTTAAAAATATCTGTTTCTTTTCATATGTTGGATTATATATGACTGTGTGTGTATATTTCTGTGTGTGCTTGTGTCTGTGTATAAACATACGCACAATGGGGAGAGGTCATTTGACCTTTTTTAAAATAAAGGTAAATTTAAATTGCAATCTGACTACTGGTATCATGATCTTCAGAGATGGAAATCAATAAAAAGGAAAAACTACAATTAATGCTCATTTTAAAACTCCCAAGCTTCTTCCATACACACAAAAAAGTCCTTTTGGTGGTGTGTTGGGGTATTTGGAGTAGGACCAGGCTCAAGTGACTGTAGGACAGTGCTGTCTCTTTGCCCAATCTTCCTCAGATTGTTTTGGGGCAAAGTATCAATAAAATAACGAGGGAGATTTTTCCAGGAAAGGAGCAATTCCCCTTTTATAACCTTCTTTTCTCTTATTCAGAGACATTATTTTTATACTTACCCTCTTTTCTGAACCTAGGAATTAGTTAGTGAAACAAATATATTTGCTGATTGTATTATCCAGTGATTCACAATCTTAATATTTACTTATGTAATCACAGGTGCCCATTCAGAGCTGTATAGCTACCCATCGCAGAGGTTTTAATGAAATTATTTGGACTGTATTATTTTTCACACAATTATAATGTTATTGTTGGAGTACTTTGTTATTTTGTATAGGTTAGACACTTCCTCCCTAATTATTTTGCCTTTTCTGTGCAAAAATGCCTTGGTCTGCTTGAGTGCAATTGGTTCAAATTATTTTTTTTTTAAATTCTGACACTTCATTTTTCAGTAAACCAAGGAAATAGTGCCCAGAAAGAAGTTGCTAAGAGACAACAAAGACTGACATCAGAGTCACCTTTGAATAGTAATGATTTACCTTAGGAGTCCTCAAACTTTTTAAACAGATGGCCAATTCCCAGTCCCTCACTGTTGGGTGGCCAGGCTGGGTGGGCGTGGCCAGGTGGTCATGTGACTAGGTGGGCATGGACAGGGGTGGGCTTCAAAAATTTTAGCAAGGGGTTCTCTGCCCGGTTGCTGGGTGGGCATGGCCTAGTTGACCTCCTGCACCATGGGGGGGGGCGTTTTTGCCTTCCCTGGGCTCTGGAGGCTTTCTTTGAGCCTCCAGGAGGGTGAAAACAGCCTCTCTAGGTTCCGGAGACCCCGTGGAGGCCTGTTTCCAGCCTTCCCAAACTTCCAGGGGTGGGTGGGTGGGTGGCCTTACCTTCCAGTTCCAGACTGCAGGGCTCGCGAAAGTAAGCCCTGGCCTCAGGGTGGGGGCCGGTGGGTGGGTGGGCGGGGCGATGTGGGCATGGCAGCCTCATGAGCTGGTGTGGGCCAGATTAATGGCTTCGGTGGGCCATATCCAGCCTGCAGGCTGTAGTTTCAGGACCCCTGATCTACCTGGTCTTGAAGTGACTGTCAGAGAGCTGGAAAACTCCTGAAGTACTTTCTAGAAAGTAATAGGATCCATCAGTTATCTAAGGCAGACTATGTAAACTGGTCCCACAACCCCCAAAGGTCACTTTCCAGATAATGGGTATTGTCCCCAACTTGTACAGCAAAATACAGTGTGGAAAGAGGTGCTGAAGAGATAGGAAGCATCAGAAGCATACAGTAATCCTCAGAAAGCTTAGCAGACACTTGATTTGTGCTTGTGCTGTAACATAAAAAAAGAGTTTTTTAAAATAATTTTTTAAAAATTTTTTTACAAACATACCACAGTGTGGTACCGGAATGTCTTACATTTTAGTACAAATAAAGCAATATTCTTCATATTTAATACAGGCGACAATCTTATAAAGTTTTAGTAATAGTACACATATTTTGTTGAATTATAATCTTTTATTATTTTATTATTCAATATTTCAGTATGTTATTTTTATGCCAATCTATAAGTTTTAAATGTCACTCCTCTTACTACAAATAAAATATTAATAATCATATTTGTTGTTTAACAAACTTATACAGTTTTAATAGTAATACACAGATTTATATTAAATTATAAGCTTCCATTGTTTATCCCTTTTCTAATTTTTAGTTATGCCACTGTTGTTTAAAAAATATCCCCTTTCTAATCATATTTTACTACAAATAAAATAATATTCATCATATTTATGTTTGACAAGTTATATAATTCTAATAACAATATACATTTTTGTTAAATTATAATCTTTCATTATCTTGTTCAATATTTCCATATATTGTTTTTAAGTCAGTCAATTTCCAGATATCATTCCTCTTACTACAAATAAAATGTTAGTAATCGTATTTGTTACATTTAACAAACTTACATAGTTCTACTAATAATACACATATTTATGTTAAATTATAATCTTCAATTGTTTAATTATTCTATATTTCAATATATTATTTTTATAACCATCACCATATTGTTCAAACATACTAAAAATTACCATAATTGATTCTAGGTTCCCTTGTTATTAATTCACCTTGTAATGTAAAAATATATATTTCATTAATTCCCCTTTCTCTAATTTCCAACCCTCTTTTAACTTATCTCACTATTGTTTTTAAGAAATATCCCCCCCCTTTTTTTATCCATCATCTCTCACCCGTTTTAAAGCTTTAATTATTTGTTTCTTAGCTTGTCTCCCATATTCCGGAGGGGGGTATTACGGAGACCTGGTTGGGCCCGGAGGGAGGGGTCCCCCTGGTTGAGATGTGCCCACCAGGCTTCAGAGCATTCCATCAGCCGAGGGCCCAGGGGAGGGGCGGGGGGTGGCAGTTATTATTAACGAAGGTCTTGGTCCGAGGGAGACCACTGTGCTACAGATTGCCGGATGTGAATCCCTCTTTGTGAGATGGGGTCATGGAGTTCAGATGGGCTTGTTGCTTGCGTACCTGGCTCCCTGCCGCGTGGCAACGGCCCTGCCCGAGCTCCTCGATGTGATAGCCATGGTGGCAGTTGATACACCCAGGCTTATGGTCATGGGTGATTTCAACTTGCCGTCCATTGGTGAAACATTCGAGATGGTTCGGGAGTTCATGGCTTCCATGTCGGCCATGGACCTGACCCAGCTAGTTCATGGCCCCACCCACAGGAGGAGTCACACTCTGGACTTGCTTTTTGTCTCTGGCCAGTGGCTGAGTGGTCTCGTTATAGGGGATATAGACATGGAACCCTTGTCATGGTCAGACCACTCGCTCCTTCGCCTGGACCTTCGAACCGCTACACCCCGCCGCAGGGAGGCGGAGCCAATAAGATGGGTCTGCCCCAGGCGCCTGATGGATCCTGAGAGGTTCCAGATGGAGCTTGGGCCACCTCCTGAAGATCTGGCACATGACTCGGCCGAGGACCTGGTGGCTGCCTGGGATCGGGCGGCTGGTGGGGCCTTGGATCGAGTCGTGCCTCTGCGGCCTCTGACCCGGTGCCAATCCCTCGCGGCTCCTTGGTTTACTGAGGAGCTGAGGGAGATGAAGCACCGGAAAAGATGCCTGGAGAGCGGTTGGAGGGCCAGTCTCACTGAATCTGACCGAACACTAGTAAGGTCGCATATTAAGACCTATTTAGTGGCGATAAAAGCGGCAAAGTTTAATTACTTTTGCGCTCTTATTGCGTCATCAGAGAATCGTCCGGCCACCCTGTTCAGGGTGACCCGCTCCCTGCTTCAACCGGGAGCGCGGGAGGACCCCCTGGAAGGCAGGGCTGAGGATTTCGGACAATATCTGTATGACAAAATCGCTCAGATCCGGGGGGATTTGGACTCTGACTGGGTAAATTTGGGCAGGGTGGCAAGGAATAGTCTTGAGAACGTTATCTGGGAAGAGTTTGACTGTGACCCCTGATGATGTGGACAGGATTTTGGGGAGACTTAGTGCGGCCACATGTTTACTGGATCCGTGTCCCTCCTGGTTAGTACTGGCTTCCTAGGAGGTTACACGAGGCTGGCTCCAGGGAATTATTAACGCTTCGTTGAGTGAGGGTTACTTCCCCACGGCCTTGAAAGAGGCAGTGGTGAGGCCTCTCCTCAAGAAGCCCTCCCTGGATCCGGCAGTATTGGCCAACTACCGTCCTGTCTCCAACCTTCGCTTTGTGGCGAAGGTTGTTGAGTGTGTGGTCGCGCGACAGTTTCCACAATTCCTGGAGGAAACGTCTTATCCAGATCCGTTCCAGTCAGGTTTCAGGCCTGAGCACAGCATGGAAACGGCATTGGTCGCGTTGGTAGATGATCTCTGGAGGGATCGGGACAGGGGTTGCTCCTCTGTCCTGGTCCTATTAGATCTCTCAGCGGCTTTTGATACCATCGACCATGGTATCATGCTGCACCAGTTGGAAGAGTTGGGGATGGGGGGCACCGTGTTATGGTGGTTCTCCTCCTTTCTCTCTGACCGGTTGCATTTTGTGTTGACAGGGGGGCAGAGGTCGACCTCGAGGCCTCTCATCTGTGGAGTGCCTCAGGGGTCGGTCCTCTCGCTCCTTTTGTTCAACATTTATGTGAAGCCGCTGGGTGAGATCATCCGTGGCTTTGGGGTGAAGTACCACCAGTACGCTGATGACACCCAGCTGTACATCTCCACCCCAGGCCACCCCAATGATATCCTTGAAGTGATGTCTCAGTGCCTGGAGGCTGTGCGGATCTGGATGGGGAGGAACAGACTCAAGCTCAACCCTTCCAAGACTGAGTGGCTGTGGTTCCCGGCATCCCGGTATAGTCAGCTGACTCCGTCGCTGACTATTGGGGGCGAGTCTTTGGCCCCCTCGGAGAGGGCGCGCAATCTGGGAGTCCTCCTGGATACGCAGCTGTCCTTGGAGGAACATCTGATGGCTGTAGCCAGGGGGATCTTTTGTCAGGTTCGCTTGATTCGCCAGTTGCGACCCTTTCTTGATCGGGATTCCATGTGCACAGTCACTCATGCCCTCATCACCTCTCAACTGGACTACTGCAACGCTCTCTACATGGGGCTCCCCTTGAAGAGCACCCGGAGGCTCCAACTGGTCCAGTATGCGGCCGCGCAGGTAATTACGGGAGCTGCATGGCGCTCCCACATAACACCGCTCCTGCGCGAGCTGCACTGGCTCCCAGTGGTCTTCCGGGTGTGCTTCAAGGTGTTGGTTACCACCTTTAAAGTGCTCCATGGCATAGGACCTAGTTATCTTCGAGACCGCCTGCTGCTACCGACAACCTCCCATCGACCCGTGCGCTCCCACAGAG